AGAAGTTTCATCAACATCGCGGTCCTCATCTCCTTCCCATCCACTGGCATCTTCTTTTAATGGAGCTCTGGTATACAAAGGAGATGGCCCATCTTTAATACGGGAGTCAGCTGTGCCACCTGCTCCTGCCAATCCCTCAGTGCACACACCAGGACCTAGCTCTGTTCCCAGTGCTGGATCCACACCAATGCCTTCTCTGCCTCGCTGATCCCACAGCTCATTGTTGTCTTCAGATGCTCTGGAGTCTTGGTACATATCCAGGGGTATTGGGATGGTGACCTCGATTCTGGTGGGAACTGCTGTTGTAGCCTTCATTTCATGTGACAGAAGAGGCTGCTGAAGAACCCCAGCTACCTGCTTCATGGGCTGGCTTTCTCTTTTTATTGCATCTCCCACACGCTCCGGAGGGCCAGGCTGTAGCTTTGGAGAGCTTGGCTCCCCTGGAGTAGAAGACGCAGGGTAGGAAGCATGGGCAATTAGCACAGACATGTCAAATCAGTAGTCAGACATGTAATGCTGAAGAGAGACTAAAGATTTCTACCACCAATCTAGAGGAAAAAAGCAAGTCCCACATCACCCCATTGAACAGACAACTCACTTCTACAGTGGCTTTTGCCTTTAAAGAAACTCTGATCTCCATGGGAATCAGGAACAGTAACAGCCACAGCGGGTGGGAGACCAGACTCCTCCCCGACCTGGTCTCGGAGGTGGCTGGGGTATCCCAGGCACGTGCCATGAAGGCCAACATCTGCCGCACCCGTGGTCTATGAGCTGGTTTAGCTACAGAGGTTTTCAGAAGCCAAGAACACACCCATTTTCTAATCTAACACCACCACTGGACCATCAGTTTGCTGGTCAGTGACCACCTCTTCTTGCCTCCAGGGCCTGAACTAAACAGGTCAGACACCCTCCCCTCTTTCACAGGCTCACAAAACCCCTTCAAGTCCTTTCCCCCGCTCAGGCACGAGCTGCATCCTCCCAGAGCTCAAACCGTCTCTGCTTTGTTCTCCAGAACATTTCTTTTGCTAATGAGCTTGAGGAAGGGCACTCCTATGTCTTCTCTCTTCTTGCTGTGTATTTCAACAGCCACTGGAGCAGACAGTCTCAGTGGAAAGGACTACAAGTGAGAACATGGCTGCAGCCACACAGCCACAGCAATTTTGGACTCTGCACCCACTCAGGCAAATCAGAGCTCCCGTGCTGCCGACAGCATTTGGGCAGAGTAGCAAGTGTGACATCTAAAGCCCTAAAATTAAGGTCACAGAGACACAGATCTTTTTTTGGGGGGTAAAAGAGAGAATTATGTTCTATAGCTGATCTCATGCATGACACAGACCTTTACAATTCCACCCAACAATTGCTGCACTAAGACATATATTCTGGTTGAGCTGGAGCTTTTCTGACAGAAATTCATTCAACTGAAGAAAAGATGCACTGAGCAATGGAGAAATCACCCTGAACATTGGTAAACTGCTTCAAAGTCAACTGCCTCAGTGAGAATGTGCATCTTATATTATGAATTTGTCCAGCTTCAAATAACCTTTGGTCTTCCTGAGCACCAACTGGGTAAAGAGCCTTAGACCAGAGCACTTCAATACTGTGATTTCAGTCGTTGCTTTGTTAGATTAACAAACAAGATTAAAACAAGGAAAAGAAACAAGGAAAGAAGTCAAGACTGACTCAGTCTTTTATCAATGTTCTCCCCACTTTAACCATAATGATTAAGTGAAACTACCACATAAAGACCTTGCAAATTGTGGTTTAAGAGAAATCCTAAATTGGCACCTGTTGGCAGGTAATATTTGAAACACCTTTTATAACCACAGGGTGTTTATGCAGTAGCCAGCAGACCATCCTGGCTCCTTTCTTCCGCAAACAACCAACATGACCATTAACGACGCTGGTGCAGAGATGGGAACAGTCAGATCGTTAGCCGTACTTCCGTACTCCTGGGCCTGCTGGTATCTCTGAGGCAAACGTGCAGCACAAGGTCAAGAGTTAGCAGAGTGCCAGCAGAGCGAAAACCACCAATCGGAAGACACTTCTCCACCTGGGACTCCAAAGGCATTTTAACATGCTCCATCTTCACTGCAAAGATCAGTTTTTCAAATCCGACAACACAAAAAATTAAGGTAGCTAGTAACAAGATATCCATGACTCTGTGTGTGTATTGTTAGTCATATTTTCCTCCAAATCAAAAAGAACCACACTGTCATTGAAAGGAAGCAGGGTATTATTACAAGTCCACTTCTTTCAGAGAAGTAACAACTTACATTAGCACCTAGAAATGTTATATATAGGTCACAGCAGAGCTCCAGCTAGCTGTATGTCCCCGTATCTGACAGCTGAACAATCCCAGGACAGTACAGAAAGGTCTTCTTAAAAATCTGGGGAGAACCAGCAGCTAGAACGAGACTGAACAGGGCAGACAGAAGAGAGAACTTCACCCTTCTCCTGCTAACAGTCTTGATTTCTTTTTTGCAGCAGTGCCACTATTTTAAATACAGAAGAGTTGCTAGTCCAAGAACCACTGGATAGGCAAGCAAAGGTTTTATTTTAATTGCAGGAAGCAGACTGTGCACAACTGTGCTCATCTGTGTGCGGAAAGCAAAGTCGACCAGAATTCTGCCCTGAGCTGAGAAGACAAAGACCTAATTACTTCTTTAAAAGACATGGGTATCTCTAAATGCACTAATGCAGCCATGAGGAGGAAAGACACTGCTCAAGCAGCTGGAGGAATTCATTATGTCTACTGCACAGAAAACTACCTTACAGAATGGGGTTTAACTAAAATTTTTAACCAGCACACCAAATGAACGCAAAGGTGTATTAGTGCTAGCAAGACAGCGATATCAAAGTGAGTTTAACCCACAAGTCTGCCCCACTGAATTAAGAATTTAATTCAACGCACAGAATTAAGCTAGCACTGGGTGCTTTGGGAAAATCCCGTCCTGCAGCTTTCAGTCAAGTCTGAACTGAACAGAGTCGAGAGAGGCTTTCCAGATAGCCAGGAGGTTCCTGGATAATTTCTTGGCTCAGCTGAGCAGACGCACAATTAATGGTCTATAAATGCTCACTGCCTACCATGCTTGGCTTTGTCAGTCACATTCCCTAAGACTGGGATGAAAACAAACCACCCTTAATGTTAAAGTCAGGGCATTAGTGAGTAGGTTTGAGACGTGTTTCAAGTTAGAAAGAGACATAGTAATCAGAGAAACAATTCACTTCTTTCATGTGTGACATGCAGGGCCCAACGTGGACTCTGTTCAATGCTGAGCAGTTCCTCCTGGCTAACTGCACCATCCCGGCTCTGGGTAGCACCTTTTCTAGCCTGGAGGATGCTCTGTTTTGCAACTGGACAAACAAGCACCAGGGCTTCAGCCACCTGAGAGAGAAATTTGGTGCATGAAAAGCTGCAGTTCCCCGAAATGAATATGTTGGAACATTCAAAGCATTTATGGCCCTCCCCTGTCAGGAAGAACTGCATGACTGCTCGTAGAGTGTAGAACATTAGCATTACAGAAGAAAACTCCCAAGGTACTAGCAACGAGCTGCATGGGCCAGCCGCGGTAACTGGGCCCCAGCGACAGGCGATTCACTAACCTTGAGTGGCATCTCCTCCAGCGTGGTCCTCCAGGTTGGGGGTGGCTCCTACACCTGCCTCTTCAGCTGGTCCCAGTTCAGAGAAAGAATGGGGAAAAGCAGGATCAAAACAAGAATTAAAGTTTAAGCGTGTGTCTGGAGAATTGATTTACCTCCCTGCTGATTCTGCCCATCAGTGCTGTAATATGAGCAGGGCAGTATCAGAAAGGAAATCAACCCACACTGACGATGTATCTAGCTAGATTTATTCAGCTTGTGCTGTACCAGACTGGAGGAGTGTGTCACCAACTTGCATATCCTGGGTGGTAGGTTAGTACAAGCTCCTTCAGGCAGAGGTGCAGAAAACAGGCTGCTAAGTGGATTTATATCCCCTCTTCTACCCCCATGTAGTATTTACATTGCCAGCAGCACTCACATGAATGTTTCTTACCTGAGCCCTACCTTCTTGTTGACGACTACCTAGCTTACTGTAATGAACTCTGCCATGGCTAAATCCGAGTCTGACAGAAATCTGATACTTCAGGAATACCGGTCCATTAAAGCACAATTTTCTTCACAGCAATGATGGTTTGTCTCTATCAGAACTTTTTCAATTCATTATATGACTACTTTCAAACAGGCTTAATCAATTACATTTGTATGTCACAGCTCTACAGTCAAACTAAGGACTTTCTCTGTTTTCCCCATTTTTTTCCAAAGAGTCCAGGACACACTGCTTCTTCCTGGCTCCCTGGTAGAGTCAGATCTCGAACGAGAGACTGCACATCCCTCCTAGCAGGCGAGCCACTCTGCATTGCAGTCCAGGGGTCCACCAGCAGCCTGGGGACTGGATGCAGGACAGGCAATTTGGCTGCCGAAGGAAGTGTGCTGTGGGCTTGTTTCAGTGTTCAGGCATTGGCAGAAGCCAGTTTCCACCCCTTACCTTTCTAAGGTCCTGCCTGATGCTTCCAGGAAAAGCCAGCAGCTACCGCACAGGGGCTATATATGCATTTTTTACATACAGACCACAGACCTCATTCTCCCAAGAGCTCCTACTCTCTTGTACACACACAGCACTGCTCACTCCCTTCTTGCTCTGCCCCTGAAAGTCCCCCATCGCTCCCTGGAAAGCCAGGGCCAGGTGCAGTGAGTCCCCACAGAGCACTCAGGCTGAATTAGCCACTTCACTTCTACTGCATTATCCTTAAAACATGCCGGCAGCCACAGAATTGCTGCAGTGGCCTGGTTTTCACCTGCCGCTTCAAAGACAACCGCATGAGCTGGGCTGAGCGAGAGCGCAGCAAGACAAGCAGCAAGGTCCTGCAGTGACCGCCTCGCCAGCAAAGCAGGGCTGCTGGCAGAGGGGCAGAGATGACCGGCATCAGCAGGCAAGCGCTTAGCCTGCAGATGGGAGATGAAGCCACAACAGAGACACCAGACGAAGATTGTCAGATGTGAAGCTGAGAAAGAGAGAAGAAAGGGCTGCAAGTTTCCCCCAGAACAGGGAAGGCAAGAGGACGACTGTAACCTAGGAATTATTTCTGCAGGCTGTAGAGAAGAAAGAAGCACTCATCAGGAGCAAAGCATGCCTGTGAGAGGTTCTGCAGTGTTATTTTTAAGCACTAACCAGTCCAGCTCTCTGATCTGCCTGCATCAAGAGATCAAACTGCACCTTGGTCTCCCTCACCTGTGGTTCCTTCTGGGATCTCCCCGTGCTGTTCGACACCACCCTGATCCTCGTGGTCTCCTTCCTCCACTAAAGGTGCTGTGGCATCTGAAAAACAACGCAGCTTTCACATAGCTGTTGAGTGGCAACACCCTGTGGAGGCCAGGACATGGCTGAAGTACTTTTTGCTCAGAAAAGCATCCGAGTCCCTCCCTTCAGCCAGTGCTTGTGGAGGGAGACAACCAAGCACGACATAGCAAAGCCAGTATCGCAGAGACAACATGAGCTGTCACCTCTGCCACCTTCACAGAAGATCAGTTGGCCCACACCTCCAGTGGGACAGGGCTGGAACTGGTCAGCATCTCTGTCCACCTTTCTTTTACAGAAATTTTGCAAACTAATGCATTTACCTGAAGTCTCCAAGAGACAGATACTTGGGATTAAAGCAGCCAGAGCAACACAAAAAATGTGCAGTTAGTTAAAATGGTGAACAAGTCTCTAGACCACTTCAGAATTAGATTCCTTCCACAAACGTAGCATTCAGCTAACACCATGGAGCAGCACAGGCATACCCCGAGTCCTACCAACATGACCTTTACATCAGCACAAAGTTTTATGTATAGACTCTGCCCACCCCATCATTCCAGTCTGAATCATGCTCTACTAACGAACATATAAATACTGAGGGGACAAAAAAAGAGTTATGAGGTACAGCTAACTCTGAAATGGAACACATGGACCAGGACATGCTGGGAGTGGGGAGCACAACGATGCAAACCTCTGGCCCTGGGAGCACACAACATGGAATTGCTCCTGGCTGCACTGAGCTAACGGGACCTTGCGGTCACTGTGTAAAAAGTCCTCAGGAAAGAAACCGTAAGCAACTTCCTGAACTACAATAAACCCTTCACCTTCTCTTTGCCTTCTCACGCACTCTCCGCCTTTAAAGTTCATTATCTTGTTCTGCAGAGAGGCAAACATCACTTGTGATGAGACTAATGAAGAGCCTTTGTCCAAGAGTGCAGACACTCCTCCTGAGAAACCCCACCAGAACACGGCATGGCAAGTCTTTTGGCAAGGTTTACCACGACCCCATCCATCATGGTTTCAAAGCAGTAAGTCAAAGAGCTCCCACCTTCCGTAGTTGGGGTGCTCTTAGCGTCAGATGTTTCAGAAACAGGCTCATCCGATCCATCATCGACTGGTATCTGAAGGGGATAGCCTGGAAAACATTCAAATACTTAGAACAAGTCCTTGGCTACAAATTATGGCCTGTGTGTTACGAACTCTGATTGCCCAGATCTTCAGCAGCAAGAAACTGTAACTGGCGACTATAAAACACCTGAATTCATAAGCAAGCAAAGCGTGAAAATGCCAACCAAAAGCACCAGTGTCATCACCAAAAGGAACAAGTGAAAACCCATCAGCAAAAGAAAAGCCCAGTGAACCGAACAGCTAGAAACAGCAAAGCACGGCACAAGCAGGAAAGGAGATCTTAGCAACGTAAACAGAAAAGATGTACAACTTTGGAGTCACTGTTGTCCTCTCTGCCATTTTTGGAGCCATTAGCCTCCCTCCCAGAGCAGGCTGCTGAGCACTTCCATGATACATTAATTCTAACCATCGCAAACCAGCAAGCCTTTGTAAAGGGCTTGGTGTAGCACGTAACGTACTGTGCGAAGACTTAGTTGCAAAAGTCATCTTTTGGAAGAGCAGGTCAAGAGGCACAAGTTTCCTCTCTTCAAGGAGTCTGGGCAAATAAAATGAGAACTGGAGAAAATGACTTGGAAAAGAAGATTCAAACTAGTGTAAGCAAAATCCCTGAGAACGTGTGACGTGCAAAGCTGAGGCTACAAGCTGAGAGGAGCTATCAGACTGAAATGCACTACAGAACCCAGGATGAATGGATGCTATGGATTCTCTCCAGGTCAGAGGCAATCCGTTTATCTGGTTTAAGGTCTTTCCAAAGCACCTCAAGAAAAGAAAATTCATATGATGTTTATATAGACCACAGCCGGGACTGAGTCCCACCAGGCGTTACATGGGTTTCCAAGCTCAACTGTGGAGCATGGTGGAATGAGAAAGGAAAGGCTTCTTGAGAAATGCAGGTCTGAAATATGGGGCGAAAGACTCTTGCATGGCCGCCTCTCCCAGAGCTCTCTGTTCAGTTCCCCCCATGTCCCTGTGCAGGTGAGAAAAGCAGGCAGCAAGCAGCATCCTTGAGCTGTGTCTCCAAATAAAAGCAGTGCTGTATTTTTATAGCGAACTGAGGAGCAAACACAGAAAAACGCATTTGCAAAGCTGCAGCAATAAGATCATCACTAGTCTGGATACTAGGGGTTGTTCTCTCTTGCTGGGCAATGATATAAAGAACCAGTGTTTTCTTACAACTATGAACATCAGAGCACCTTGTGGGCTACCTGCTGTCCACTGGCTGCAGCCAGCTGATCCACGGTAACCTTCCAGACACACACACCATCTCCTCCTGGCCATTCCCTCACACCCAGGCTCTGCTCTCCCCACTTAGGTCATTCTCTCTGCAGTGGGCAAGGCAGGTCCTGTACCCCACCTCCTCCTGGTGGTGCTCACCTGATGGGATGTGCTTCTCCTGGCCAGCTGTGTGATCCTCCATGGTGACGTCCTGACGTTGCTCCGCTATCCTTCAGCAAAGTTACCTGAAGAGGAGAGTAAAAGCAAACACTGACACAACAGGCTTTCACCCAGAGCCCAGCTGGTGCGCTCCCATCCACTGCTCCACAAGACAATTTTGGTTGTCAGCCAGTTTCCAAGAACGTTAAGCATCTGATCGCAACCAATCAGCCAACAACAGCCAACCACCTTTTCAGCCACTGTAAGAAGATACCTACTTTGTTCCCTTTTCCTGATGAGCCCTGAAATCACACCTTTGCACTCGAGGAAGATCACAGCTCAAGATACATGTTACCTATTGGGTTTCACGCCAGTGCTGAGATCCTCCCTGGGGCATCCAAACCCACCAGGAGCAAGTTTTGTCCGCAGTCACCAAGTGGAGGAGGACAGTGGGAAGGGAGTGCTAACCTGCCAAACTAGCACCTAAAAGGGCTGCCCTAGCCAGAACACTCTTCAGCAGGGCAACACCAAGCTCGCAGCACAAGATGCCATAGCAATCCACACTCAAGACAGAAAAAATTCACTTAGGGGTACATGTCAAAAGGAAAACACGGATTTCATATAAAGGACATATAAAACAGCCCACGTTCCTTGTAAACAACGGGAAGTTCTAATTATTCCAGCACAAGCAAAAGAATGTGCCAGTCACTGCATCCATCACAACAAGGATATAGGCAACTTCTGCCCACCTGCAACATCAGAATTCCTGAGGTATTTAAGGTGTCCCAAACAAAATGCCCGCCCTGGTGCACACAGGACACTGCTTGGCTGCCGTTTCGTCACAGGTGATCACCAGAACCTGCATGCTTAGTGCAGATGTGCTTCTGCGGCAAGCTCCAAACTCTGCATTTGCCAATTTAACCAGTCTTTCCACAGAAGTGTCTACTGGCAAGGTGTGATGCTGCTGCAGGAAGGGATGCCTTCTACTCCTGTGGATACACCCAGCAGGGACACACAGCTATACCGATACACTGATCATCTTGAAAGCCATCCAAAAGTGACATACAGCGGTAAACCAGGACTCTCCAGAGATGGATTTGGACCACGGACTCTTAGAGAAGAGGGTCTCACTTGGCTGTGGGTCTGAGAGGACAGCACAACGGCTGCTTTAACCCTGAATTCTTCTTGCAGTGCTCAGAAAGTCAGCACCATGGTATAGAGCAAAGCACTGTAAGTAGGTCTGGACACTGGAGTGGAAGTTAGACAGGTACTAAAATTCAGGTTACGTTTTTCTAATGTGCATCCATCTGCAAAAGGAAATTAGCCACTTCCGTGAAGCAGGGACCGTGTTTCTCCTTATTCCCATGCTGGTTGGGCAGACATTGCTTTTAGTTGACTTCCTAATAGATGATCTAATAACAGCCACTGGCAGTGATTAATAACCAGCTATTAGTGTAATCACACATCTGCCATGACCATCAGAAGAGAACGAATCCAGCAATGAAGCTCAGGTTACCAGCAGCATGGAAGCAAACTCGTGGTTTTGTTTGCTGGCAATAAATTAGCTGGATATATGGAACTACGCAAGAGGTACTCCAATGCTAGTAACCAGATCTCTCACCCAGCTTTTTTTAAGCCTTAGCAAGATGACTATGCAATTTAATTTCTGCCTTAGACAGCTACAAAGCCATTTGACAGAACTGTACCAAGTAAGTTCAAGAATTTGCCCTGAAAGGAAATCACCCATTAAAATGGAGGTATAAAATAGGAAAGAATTAAGTATCTAATTTTTGCCCCCAAAATAGCGGGCCCTAATTATTTGGACATGTGGCTGCCCTCCTCCCAAGGCTCCAAGGAACATATTGATTATATCCTGGTCTCATCTGGCTGCCGCTTGGTATTATTTACAAGTCTACTTAGCACTGAAATACTAAAATATAATGTTAACCTAGTGTACAGGGCACAAAAGCAACTTGGGCATGAACACGAGCATAAAGTGGCACACAAATGTGCTGCTGTTGTGTGTGTCCTTGTGTGAGCGCATGTACAGAAGAGTGACCTCTCTGCCCAAAACACACACACAGCACTGGGAACACTTTTCCCCATGCACTGCCCTGTCTGTTGATAGGAAAACACGGCTGGGAGAAGTGTTCCTACCCCACTCATAACTGGTGGTCCCCCCAGCCCAGCTCAGTTCACTAAACATCTACGGATATTATTAACATCTTCACTTTCCAACTGCAGACCCAGAGGCAAAGCACTCACAAATCTGCTGCGCTGGATTCAAATGAGGCTTACTGTTTCCTTATACTGCCTCCTTTCTCTCTTCCTCCCACCTCTTTTTTGAAGAAGAGCAATTAGTGTCTCCTCCAATCTCCCTGGAAAGACACATTTAGTTCTTTCTTGCCTCTGGACAAGAATTTCTTGAGACACCATCCAGAGAGGACTCTGAGCTTGGCAGCTAGTGAGCTCGCATACCCCGCCAGAGGCTCATCTGCTGGCTCCATGGACAGCATCCGACACAGCCAAAGATCTTCCACTTTTCCTCCGAATAGAGCATTTAGCATCAGTGCAGCCCTGGCACAACTGCAGTGAGCAATGATTCAGCAAAGGCCAGCAGATCTGCTGGCGGGCGCGCGAGGCTGCTGACTGTCACCCTGTCAGGGCTGGGGCTTTTCAGCACAAAGGAACGGCCGGCTGTTTTTCAGAGAAGCTGATGATCTCGCGATCTGCCTGAGCTTTGCAAGAAGGCCTTTAATGCTGTGCTGCTCACAGCTGGGCAGAGACAGACCCCATTCCACTGAGCTCCACCCATGGCAGGATTCGGCTGTCTCAGAGCTAAAGGACTGGAGATGGGCTCGGGAGGATGTAGCCATTAATTTTTTAAGAGATGAGAGAGAAAGAGCTGCCTTTTCTGTTACAAGGAAAAAAGCACCACCAAAAGCCACAAAGATACATGAAAAAAAAAACTCAGTGGGACCCTGAGAGCACCTGAAACAGAATCCCAGCACGGCAGGGGCTGGAAGGGCCCTCTGGGGATCACCCAGTCCAATCCCCTGCCAAAGCAGGGTCACCCAGAGCAGGCTGCACAGGACCTTGTCCAGGCGGGGCTTGAATATCTCCAGAGAAGGGGGAAGAAGTTCTTCCTCGTGTTCAGCTGGAACTTCCTCTGCTTCAGTTTGTGCCCGTTGTCCTGTCTCTGGGCACTACTGGAAAGAGTCTGGCCCCATCCGCCGGACACTCACCCTGCAGATATTTAGAGGCATTTCTAAGGTCCCCTCGCAGCCTTCTCTTCTCCAGGCTGAACAAGCCCAGCTCCCTCAGCCTCTCCTCATAGGAAAGATGCTCCAGTCTCCTCATCATCCTCGTAGCCCTCCGCTGGACTCTCCAGTAGCTCCTCATCTTTCTTGAACTGGGGAGCCCAGCACTGGACACAGT